ATGACCATGTGTCATGGCTACGAGTGCAGCTCCTAGACCCACGCATGAACTAAACCCATAAGCCTCCCAGGAATATAAAAACCCAGTTGCCATCGAGTCAAACTCATGGTGATCCCATGTGTGTCAGAGTAGAACTGTGCTGATTCTTTGGAAGTAGATCACCAGAACTTTTGGTTAGCAGCCGAGTGCATTAACTGTTGGCACCACCCAGGGAGCCCCCATGTATATAATCAGGCCCTTCTGTTTGCTGCAGTTGCAGCCCCTATGACTGCTTTCCCCCTGGCACAGCTCCTCCCATCACTGACCCTGAGAGCACATCCAACGGTCACAGACTTGTCCTCCACACAGAGGGCTAGGAGAGCACCTGCACCCATGGACGATCTTATATGCAGAAGAACCTGGGAGTGGATGTGGACAGTTTCAGCTGTGTGTTAACAATGTTTCACAGAATTGTGAGGAGGAAAGGAGCTAATGTACTGTTTCTACCTGGATTCCACATGCCTCTCCCCTGCCCAGGGGTCTGAGGATGGAATCTTATGGGTCTTTGAGTTCTCTGATCCCTTTAAAATTGTTTTTTCATTTCAGTGATGTCATGCATTGAATTGTGTCCCCCCAGAATGTGTGTCAATTTGGTTAGGCCATGATTCCCAGTATTATGTGGTTGTCCTCCATTTTGTGATTTATGTCATTTTCCTATGTGTTGTAGGAAAATCTAATCTCTGCCTGTGGTTTATGAGGCAAGATTAGATTATGTTAAAGAGGATCAGGGTGGGATGTAACACCCTTACTCAGGTCACATCCCTGATCCAATGTAAAGGGAGTTTCCTTGGGGTATGGCCTGCATCACTTTGTATCTTACAAGAGATAAAAGGAAAGGGAAGCAAACAGAGAGGTGGGGCCTCATATCACCAAGAAAGCAGTGCCTGGAGCAGAGCATGTCCTTTCGTCCTGAGGTTCCTGCACAGAGAAGCTCCTAGACCAAGGGAAGATTGATGATAAGGACCTTCCTCCAGAACTGACTGAGAGAGAACACCTTCCCTTGGAGCTGGCGCCCTTGAATTCAGACTTCTAGCCTACTAGACTACTAGAATAAATTTCTCCTTGTTAAAGTGAAATACTTGTGGTATTTCTGTTATAGCAGCACTAGATAACTAAGACAAGTGATAATCTGTAAAAATGAATATCAATTCTTGCTCACCTGAAGGAGGACCACCTTACGACAGAGCTGTAGAGAGATTTCAGTACCCACATGTACAAAAGTGACCCAAAGACAAACTCCAGGTTCTGCAAGAAGTTATTCCTTTAAGAAGTTCTATGGCATTATTCATGTTTGAGAAATTCTGAATGAACGTATTTAATTTGGGGAAAATTATATGCTGTAAAATCAGATAAAATTTGGATATTTACAAAGTCGTCAAGATGGAAGCTTCAGTGATCTATCCTGGTTCTCTCACAGGATTTGTTGGATTAAATTATTTCCATCATGACCTAGGAAGGTCCTTCCTGGACTCGTCCCAGCAACTTCCACAGGCCTAGAGGTTGGTCACACACCAATTTCCTTCAGAAGCAGTTTTCACTAGGATAATCCTGGAGATCCAATAAACAAATTAGATAAAATGCCTAGCTCTCCAGCCAGATGGCAAGGCCTGATCATTTGAGCCCCTTTGGAGAGATCTCTGTTATAGACCTGAGACACACATCCTGTTAGGGCTGCACTAACTCAGCTCACTCCCGTTTTAGAGAAGTTGACCTTCTTACACCATATCCAATTATGATACACAAGCCTCCCAAAGGCAGGGAAGAACTTTTCAAACTTATTAAAAGCAATTGTATTCTCTTGGTTTTGACCTTCCTACAGGGAAATCAGAGTCGCTCGGTGGCACAAATTGTGAAGTGCTCCACTACTAGCCTAAAGGTTGGTGGTTTGAAGCCACCCAGAGGCGCCTTGGAAGACAGGCCTGGCGATCAGCTTTCAAAAGGTCACAGCCTTGAGGACCCTATAGAGCAGTTCTACTCTGCGCACATGGGGCCGCCATGAGTCAGAATCGACTCGACAGCACCTAACAGCAACACAGGGAATTCGGGGGCAGTGGTGGTTCCATGGTAGAATTCTCATCTTCCATACGGGAGACCTCGGTGTGACTCCAGCCAGTACACCTTGTGTGCAGTCACCACCCATCCCTTAGTAGAGGCTTGCGAGTTGCTATGATGTTGAACAGGCTTCAGCAGAGCTTCCAGACTAAGGCAGACTAAGAGGCCTGACGATCTACTTCTAAAAATCAGCCCATGAAAACCCTTTAGACCACAAGAGCCCAGGCAGCACCCGATCATGGAAATGGTGCAGGACCAGGCAACGTTCTGTTCTGTTGTGCTTGGGGTCACCATGAGTTGGGAGCCGACTGCACGGCAGCAAACAACACCACAAGGAATTCAGCCTGTCCCTTGAGAGCTCCAGAAGAGAAGTTTCTTGCTTAGAGTTGTTTTTCCCAATGTATTGAACATCCTGAAACAAGAGGAGTAAGGAAAAGCGATTTCCTAGGCTACCGAGTCAGCTGCTGAAAATGTACAGCCCCTCTGCACAGAGGAGCTGCCGGCCATTTTGCCAGGCAGGATGGGGCAGACGGGAATGGGCCCTGACCAGCTCCAGAGGCGGAGACTAGGGGAGCCCGTCGGATCAGGGTTCAGCTCAGCCAAAGAGGAGGAGGTTGGGTCCCTCTCCCCATATCATCTACCCCCATGACGTTACCATTTCAGTCCCAGAATAGTTAAAACGTTTGGGAAATTCACAGTCTAAAAATATATCCTTTTTACATGTAGGCAAGATAACACAGGAGAGTGACAGAGTTACTAAGAATGCGGCTCCCTCCTTATGTAACTTGGACAAAAATAAAGAGTGTTCTGAGCCAGAAATAGGGCTGAGAAGGAAGAACGTGAATAAATAGCACTGACAAGTCATTATTTACTCAAACTGTCAAATGGCTGAAGAACGAAGAAGTTTTGATCCGTGTCCCATAATGCATTACTCAGGTCTCGCTGGCCCCAAAGGGAGCTGAGGTCACTCCTCTGACAAATGTTTGCCATGAGCACGTATGTTTGTAGAGGAGGCTGTTGAAGGAAAGGTAAGAAGGGGCCGCGCTCGTTCTCCTTCCTGCTGCGGCTCCCTTTTTATTCGCACGGAAGGCTCCTGGATACTGTACGTAATGGGTGTTTCCTACACAATATCATCCCAGCCTGTGCTGAATCACAAGGAGTGCAGACGTCAGAGCAGCCCTTGCTGGGGGCCGCACGTGGGCAGGTGGCTGTGCTGCGGCGCGGAGGCCGAGTGTTCACCTGCCACAGACGCTGTGCCAGGGACTCCCATCCCACCACAGGACGGCTGGCCCCAGGGGGTTCAAAGCTGGGCGTCCCTGGCTTGTCGCCGTCCCCGCTGCTCACATCCAGTCCTCCACCACGTCCTATCGCTGTTACTTCCTTCGTCTCTCCCCGTTGCCACTGCCGTAGGCCAAGGCCACTGCCATTTCTTTTTTTTTTTTTTTAATAGTACTTTAGGCGAAGGTTTACAGAACAAATAGTTTCTCGTTAAACAGTCAGTACACATATTGTTTTATGACATTGGTTAACAACCCC